GGGTCTCGAACCCGCGGGCTCAGGCAATCCACTCACCTCGGCCTCCCGAAGGCGCGGGATGACAGGCTGAGCCACCGAGCCCAGCTGGGCTACGTTTCTTAGATTTCCCTACGGGTCCTGGTTCTCAGCCCCGGGAAGAAAGAAAAAAAACTCAACAAGACGTGGTTGCTGGAAGTCGGGATGGATTAGGGTTATTTTTTCCTACACACCTCCCCACACACATACACCGTATTTGGCACTATCCACACACAGAGCAGGAGATTCCACATTTCCTTTTACCTGCTTCAGGACCTGCAGGGTCCAGGGGTTTGTGTCTGACGGGAGGAAACTTCCTCACAGGAAGTCGAGTAAAGCAAGGGGCTGTTCCCTAGCAGCTTTCCAGCAGGAAGGGGCTCAGAGCAAAACAGATAGGAGTATGCCCCGCGGAGGGGAGCGTTCTCCTGAGCAGGCTCCCACTGGTTTGCCTGTGCAGGTGGTGTATCCAGGAACAGGTCTGGGGGTTTCCGACCCTTCGGGTCCCTATGCCATGACCACGCTGAGCGTCAAGCCGAGTCAGCGCTTCCAGCTGTCCGACTGGCACACCAACAGCTACCTGCTGTCCACCAACGCTGAGCAGCAGCGAGATGCTTCCCATCAGATCCGCCAGGAGGCCCGGGTCCTCCGCAATGAGACCAACAACCAGGTTAGGGGCAGGAGCTCAGTTGGGTGTGCAGAGGAATAGTCCCCAACCCTCTTAACCTGGCCCTGCCTCTTCCAGACCATTTGGGATGAACATGACAATAGAACTCGACTGGCAGAGAGGATCGATACAGTCAACCGGTGGAAGGAGATGCTGGACAAGTGTCTGATGGATTTGGATGCTGAGATCGATGTCCTGACACAGGCAGGGAGCTAGGGCTGGGTGCCAGGAGACTCTCTGCTGCAAAGACCTTCCCTCCTTCCCCATTTCTGGGCTAGGGATCTCTTGGTGGTGGTGGTGGGAGCATGAGCAGCATGTTCATCCGAGTCACTCACTGGCCCCTCTGCTAACGCGGGGATAAGTGCCACTTCCCCATGGGTGGCCCCACCAGCTTTCTGTGCCCCCTCTTTTCTAGATGAAAGAGTCAGCAGAGCAAAACCTGCAGGCCAAGAACCTGCCTCTGGATGTGGCCATTGAGTGTCTGACCCTGCGCGAGAGTCGGCGAGACATTGATGTGGTGAAGGACCCAGTGGAGAACGAGCTGCATAAAGAGGTGGAGGTCATTGAGGCCACCAGGAAGGCCTTGCAACAGAAGATTAGCCAGGCCTTTGAGCAGCTCTGGTAAGGGAGGGGCGGCTCTCTCGCATGTTCACAGGCACTTGAAGGCTTTGTGCCTTGAATGTGGAACACCAGTATTGTGGACAGTGAACAGCTGGCTCTTCTGCTACCTTTTGGCCCTCCTGTGCCCATGGCAAAAACCACTCATTGGCTGCAGCATTTTTCCACTGACTGGACACATTTTCAGAAAATGTCTCACACCCCTGCTCTAGGCAGCCAGTATCAATTGATTGGGAGCACGAGCATTGAAGCCCACTTGCCACCACCCCTAAGTACCTCACTGTGAGCGTGTACACGTGAGCCTTTGTGAACACAGGTGCATACCCCCGTGCAGCTGTGTGCCCCGTGCATGTGTACAAGCACTTGGGTGTCACTGTTTTTTGTCTCTGGAAAACACATCCAGCTGTGCTGGTCTTTGTCTCAGCTACAGCAGCAGTTCCACTGTCTTCTGCTGGCCAGAGTCAGCCTCCTCATCCTGGCATGACCCCTTAGTACACTGAGGCCTGTGTCTGGGGCCTTGTGGGATGGTTTCTGACTGTGTCTGTGCTTTCCCCAGCCTCCTGCAGGAAGTCCGGCAGCAGCTCAACTTCGACCACAGAGGCAAAATGGAGACGCTGGAGATCGACAGAGGCTGTCTCTCTCTCAACCTCAAGTCCCCAAACATCTCTCTGAAGATCAATCCCACACGTGTCCTGGATGGGTAAGAAGGGTTTTTGTCAGTCCCTCCTTCTCCCTCCTACCCGTGTGCCCTCCTGACCCCATATTCCCTCCCACCTGCAGCTCCACCACACTCCAGCAGTGGGATGACTTCAGTCAGTTCAACAAGGAGCGAGCAGAGGCCGAGATGAAAGCAGCCATGGAGCTGAGGGAGGCCACTGCCCTGACTATTGCGGAGGTGACTGACTGCAGTTCACCCATGGCCCACGTGTGCACTCAGCCCTTACCTTTTGTTCCCTGCTGACCACATGGCCCCCCTTCCCCTCACTTGAGCAACATCCTCAGATGGCCAAGAGCTTAGACCCTCCCTTCACTCTGCCTACTTCCTGTCCTACAGACCAACAACGAGCTCGAAGCCCAGAGGGTTGCAACGGAATTTGCCTTCAGGAAGCGGCTGCGGGAGATGGAGAAAGTATACAGTGAGCTCAAGTGGCAAGAGAAGAACGTGAGCTTCTCCTGGGGTCTGGACGAGGAGCCGCATGCCGGGCCAGGAGGCCCTGGATCTGGTGCCACATGGTGAGTCAGCTGGTGAAGACCAGTCACTCTGTCCCCTGCAGACCTTGGAGGAGATCGCCGAGCTGCAGGAGGACATCCGGCATTTGGAGGAGGATCTGCGCAGAAAGCTACTGAACTTGAAGCTATCCCACACCCGGCTAGAGGCCAGAACCTACCGGCCCAATGTAGAACTCTGCCGGGATCAGGTGCGAAGGTACCCCAGTGGGGGGCACGAGCCCCCACTGAGGTTTCCTCAGGATCATTCCCCAGCAAGGGAGCAAGGGCATGGACACAGGGCAGCACTCAGGCCCACGGGTGAAGGAAAGTATGCCTGAGCCGCCACTCCCAACCTGCCTATCTGTCTCCAGGCACAATATGGCCTCACAGACGAGGTTCACCAGTTAGAGGCAACCATTGCTGCCCTCAAGCAGAAGCTGGCACAAGCACAGTAGGTTTGGGGAGTGGGCAGGAGGGGCGGGGATACACTGTCCACTGATGGGGCCTCTTGCTGCCTGCTGGTTCATCTAGGCTTTGTCTTATTGCCTGAAGGCTGGGTACTGCCCAAACCTCCTATCTCATGGGGGGTGATGGGCTGTTAACGCCTCCTCCCCAGGGATGCGCTGGACGCCCTGGACAAGCACCTGGCCCGGCTACAGGCTGACATTGCCTGCAAGGCCAACTCCATGCTGTTGGACGCCAAGTGCATGGACACGCGACGCAAGCTGACGGTGCCTGCGGAGAAGTTTGTACCTGAGGTGGACACCTTCACACGTACCACAAACCGCACCCTGAGTCCACTCAAAAGCTGCCAGCTGGAGCTGGCCTAGCCTTGGAGGAGGAGGGCAGGAGGAGGGCTGGGGAGGACAAGGTTGGGTGGGAAATGGAAGCGGGACGAGAGAAGGAAGTTAATAAATGTGACGATTCTCAGGCCAGGATATTCTCTGCTACCCCTACATGCAGCCAGCAGGGAGGGGAAGGACTTCTAACTCACCCTCCTATGTGTGGAGGAACAAAAGTGGGGACATCGCACCCCCAGCTCTGCGTTTCAAATCTGATTCCTTCCCCTCCCTCCTTTCTTCCTCTCTGGGCTAGGCCAGCACCCCCTAGGCTCTAGCAGCACAGTCTCTACCTAGCCCTGCCACAGCTGGCCCCAGGCCTGCCCTTTTGGTGCCCAAGAGAGGTCCAGAGAGAACTAGGATCACTTGGTGGAGGTGGTCCAGGCCTGAGAGGGGACCAAGAGCTAGTGCTGCCACAGGAGTGGGGGGTGAGGAGTCAGGGGCTCTCGCGGAGGCGGGGGAGGCAGTGGTCTGGAGTAATCCAATGGTCGGGCTCAGTGCCCAGCCCTGGGAGATCCTTTACGGGCCTTCCCTGCAGGCTGAGGCTTTTACAAGTTGGGAGAAAGGGGCTCACAGCAGAAGCTGGCGAGGTCTGCGAGGCGCCGCGGCTCCGGACCGCTGGGTGGCGCTGTGGGCGGGGAGCGACGCGGAGGCTCCCCGCCACCGGAGCGCAGCGGGGCCGGGGACGAGGGAAACGGCAGCGGCGGCACCGGAAGTGGCGAGTGGCCTGCGCGCGGATGGCTGTGGCGGCGGTGGCGGCGATGACGGCGGCGGGCGGCGGCGGGGCCGGCGCGGCCCGCTCCCTCTCGCGCTTCCGCGGCTGCTTGGCCGGCGCGCTGCTCGGGGACTGCGTGGGCGCCGTCTACGAGGCCCACGACACCGTCGACCTGACGTCAGTGCTTCGTCACGTGCAGAGCCTGGAGCCGGACCCCGGCACGCCCGGGAGCGCGCGGACAGGTGGGCGGGGCCGGGCGCACGTGGACGCCCCGCCCGCGGGGACTCTCGGGGAAGGAGGCCGGAGGGGAGCAGGCTCCGGGCTGTGGACCAGGCGGGGGGGTGCGTGGCGATGAGGCTGCCGTGGGCTGGATGCCTCACACGCCACCGACTCGGCGTGTCCGAGCCCAAGCTCCGTCTTTACTTGTTCTCGCCCCGAGCGTTCCCCAACTCTGCTTGGCCACCCCGGCGTCTCAACCGAGCAAGCCGGGAGTCTGGGCAGCATCCTCCGGGGTTGCGCCCAGGCTAGTGTACACGTGGTCCTTCGACTGCCGATAAGCCCACCGTAAATGGAAGACATCCTAAATCGCAAGCGTGTTTTCAATCTACAGCGGGTTTGTCTGGACGTAGGCCCATAGTAAATCAAGGAGCTTACCGAATACATAGCTCTTTACACCATCTGAAAGTGGAAAGTTCTAAATTAGGCCATCGTAAGTCGAGGCCGTCTGTAGGATAGCCCTCGCTGACTTCCGGGAACCTAAATTCTTTGGAATCAGTACGCCACCAATCCGTTCTCCACACAACAGGGAGTGCCTTTCTCAAAGCATAAATCTGATCCCGTCCTCCTCGAATAAACCCTGCTGTGATTTCCCATTACCCTTAAGATAGAGCCAAATTCCCTAACGTGTTCTGCCCCGTCCGGACCCCTGCCTGTGTCTGCAATTTCTTTTTTCCTTTTTAATTTTTTTGTTTTGTTTTGTTTTTGAGTTGGAGTCTCACTCTGTCGCCCAGACTGGAGTGCAGTGGCCGCTCCCGGCCACGGCATCCTCGACCTGCTGGGCTCTGGCGATCCTTCCGCCTCAGCCTTCCAGGTAGCTGGAACTACAGGCGCCCAACTAATTTTTTGATTTATTGTAGTGATGAGGTCTCGCCAAGTTGCCCATGCGGGTCTCGATCCCGCGGGCTCAGGCAATCCTCTCACCTCAGCCTCCCAAAGTGCTGGGATTACAGTCAGCCACCGAGCCCGGCTCCTTTTTAATTTTTTAAGTTAGAGACGGGTCCTGCTGTGTTGCCCAAGCTGGTCTTGAACTCCTGGAGTCAGATGATCCTCCTGCCTTGGCCTCCCAAAGTGCTGAGATTACAGGCAGGAGGCGCTGCACCAGCCTGCGATTTCAACTTATACCACCCTTGGCCTTGTTTGTTCTTGGGTTTCTCACACCAAGCTTCCTGTAGACCGGACGTTTGCATGTGTTGTCCCTTGTCTATAAAACTAACTCCCCTTTTTCCTTCTCTTGTGTTGTCTGCTCTCAGTGCAGGTTTCAGCACAGGTAGCATGCAGCTCAGAGATCAGGCAGAGGATGTGCGTCTTCTTGGTGAATATGTAGAATAGTAAGAAGAAAATGCCATAATCAGAAACCTGGAGAACACTTGTATTCAAGAGGGCGGTAGAGGTGGAGGGAAGGAACCAGTTTGATAGAAAAGTAGAAGGGGGTATCAACAAAACCTGGGAAAAGAATTTCAAGATGAAGACACTGGTTACTGGTCATGCTGTAGAAGAGTTAAGTAGGGGGAAATTTGGACTTTCTAAGTCCAAATTAAGTTTGGGTTAGAAGGAAGTGCAAAATGAGAAAATAGTGTGCTTTGATATGAAGGGAAGGAGACAGATGAGCTACAGTTGAGAAGACAAGCTGAAAGGATGCTTCTTTTAATTTTATTTTAGTTTGATGTTAATGTAAGGAAAAAGTATGACTTAGGTTGAAAGATGTTTTAGGATCTTTTGGATGCAAGTGACAGAAAACCCAACTCAAAGTGACCAAAACAGAAAAAAAGGGGGGCGGGGAATGTATTGGCTACATAACAGGAAAGTCCAGAGGCAGGCGTGGCTTCCCACAGAGCTGATTCCTGGTGCTCAGACCATAGCCTCAATGCTCTGTTCCTCTCACTGTTCAGATCTGCTTTCTCTTTTTTTGAGTCTTTTTCACCCAGACTGGAGTGCAGTGGCACACTCATGGCCACTGCAGCCACTACTTGCTGGGCTCAGGTGATCCTTCCACCTCAGCCTTCCAAGTAACTGGAACCACAGGCATGTGCCACTATGCCCGGCTAATTTTTTAATGTATTTATTGTAGAGACGAGGTTTCACCATGTTATTCAGGCTGGTCTCAAACCCCAGAGCTCAGGCAATCTCTCACCTCCACCTCCCAAAGTGCTGGGATTACAGGCATGAGCCACTGTGCCAGGCTAAGATCTGCTTTCTTGGTGGACTTCATTCACCTATTTGATTCTTCCCATGGGGTAGCTCCCAGCAGGTCTCACCTCAGCAGCTCCAACAGAGGAAGTTTCTCTTTGTAGCATTCCCAACAAAAGTCCCACCTGAGTCCCATAGGCCTGACTGAGGTCATATGTCCATCCCTAAACAAGGCAATGGGGTGTGCTACACGCACCAGGTATGTGGTGTGTCTGCACACATGAGTAGGATGGGGAATGTTTTGGGAAAAACTCTCAAACCATGTTTTTTCCTTCGCTCTCACCACCACAATAATCAACAACACCTGTGGCCAAATGTGGGGATTTTCCTCACACTCCAAGCAGCGGACACCAGCTAGGTGTCCTCTAATTCAATTCCCACACTGTCTACCTGGAGACAGTGTCAGATCCCACAGGTTGAGGGCTCAGTCCCCAAAACTGCCCCCACCCTAGCCACTAGTTGTAGGTCTGGGCCTCCGGAACTTCTTATTAACCAGTTTCAAGTTGGGGTTCCCATGACCCCTCCCTTTGGATTCGATTAATTTGCTGGAGTGACTCACAGAACTCAGGGGAACACAGAGCTTCTGTGCCCTCCCCTGGTGTGCCACCCTCCAGGAACTTCCATGTATTCAGTCACCTGGAAGCTCTTCAAACCCTGAGTTTTGTTTTGTTTTTTTGAGTTAGAGCTGTACTCTGTTGTCCAGGCTGGAGTACAGTGGCACACTCATGGCTACCGCAGCCTCTGCCTGACAGGCTCAGGTGATCCTTCCACCCCAGCCTTCCAAGTAGCTGGAACTACAGGTGTGCACTACCACACCTGACTAATTTTTTTATTTATTGTAGAGATGAGGTCTTACCAAGTTGCCCAGGCTCATCTCAAACCCGTGGGCTCAGGCAATCCTCTCACCTTGGCATCCCAAAGTGCTGGGATTATAGGCGTGAGCCACCACGCCCGGCAAATCCTGGGTGTTTATGGAGATTTCATTACATAGGCATGATTGACAACCATGTAGAAATGTGATTGGACAAAAAGGGTATGATCTCATACTAATAGACTGAGTGGGGAAACCCAGCAAGGTCTAGTTTTTATTTGCTTGTTTATTTTTGAGACAAGATCTCACTGTCACCCATGTTGGAGTGCAGTGGCACGATCACAGCTTACCACAGCCTCAAACTCCTGGGCTCAAGCAGTCTAAGCTTCCCAAGTAGCTGGGACTACAGATGTGCACCACCATGCCCAGTTAATTGTTTTGATTTTTTTTTTTAATCAGAGTCTCACTCTGTCGCTCAGGCTGGAGTGCAGTGGCACGCTCATGGCCACCAAAGCCTGGACCTGCTGAGCTCGGATGATCCTTCCACCTCAGCCTTCCAAGTAACTGGAACTACAGGCATGTGCCAACACGCCCGGCTGATTTTTTTGAAACAAGATCTCACCATGTTGCTCAGACTGGTCCTCTCACCTCTGCCTCCCAAAGTGCTGGGATTACAGGCATGAGCCACTGTGCCTGGTGTTTTGATTTTTTTTTTTTTTTTGAGTTGGAGTCTCACTCTGTCACCCAGGCTGGAATGCAGTGGCATGCTCAGCCACTGCAGCCTTGACCTGCTGGGCTCAGGCGATCCTTCTGCCCTTCCAAGTAGCTGGAACTGTAGGCACACACCACCATGCCTGGCTGTTTTTTTGGGTATTTGTTTGTTTGTTTGTTTGTAGAAACGAGGTCTCGCTAAGTTGCCCAGGCTGGTCTTGAAACCCTGAGCTCAGGCAATCCTCTTGCCTCAGCCTACCAAAGTGCTGGGATTATAGGCTTGAGCCACTGCTCCTGGCTTGATTTTTTTTTTTTTTTTTTTGTAGAGACAGTTTTACTATGTTGCCAAGGTTGGTCTCAAACTCCTGGGCTCAAGCCATCCTCCCACCTCAGCCTTCCAAAGTGCTGGGATAACAGACATGAGACACCATGCCCAGCCATGGTCTCATTGTTCAGATTCTTCTTGGCCTCTTTATACAGCATTCCTTCCTCCAAAGTATGGGACAGGGCCCTCTCTGGAATGAGACCCACAGTCTGATTAGAGTCCTGCCTTGGGCAGATGAAAGAAAAACAGGAGAAGGTCAGAGAGAGAGATTCTGTTTCTTGAGGCCTTCTCCTGAGGCCTAAAGCACCCCAACATTACAACAAGGGCTATGAGAGTTCAGAGCCAGGAACCCTGGGTGAAAGTGTGTGTATGTATCTCATAATACCACTGGGAGCCTCTGGCATTGCCACAGGTGTGGTTAGTTCCGTGCCCTAAGTTACCTGGACTAAGAGTAGAGAGAGGTGGTTCCCTGGGGGAGAGCAACAAAAAGCAAATAGATACTGTCCCTTCACAGCAAGAGAGGTTGAGGATGCAGTAGAGAAGGGACAAAGAACCAACAAGGTTCCCGGGGATGGGGGTGGGCTTTACCTTGGACCAAAAAGGAGACTCACTCCCTGGGGGCCTCTGGGGAGCACAACTGTGGAGAAGGACCTCCTAAGAGTGAGCAGGGAAGGGGAGAGTGGGACTTGGGACTGGGATGTCTCGGGGGCCAGGGAAGCAGTAGCAATGCAACGATTGGAGGTTTCCTGGGGAGTCTGCTTCCTGTCCTGAAACCAGCTCTTCCTCACATAACCAATCCCCTTGCAGCCTGTATGAGAAATGACCAGTGGTGCTGTGATGGAAGCACTAGAACAGTCTTCACAGGGCTCAGAGGAAAAGGAGGTGGGAGGGGCACAACCCCAGCTGGAAAGCACTTGACCCTGCTCTAAAACTGGTTCTAAGGGCATGTGGGATGGGGGGCATTGGGATATAAGATGGCAAAGAAGGAAGGGGTTAGACTGGAAAGAACTTTGAAGGCCAAGACCATGGACCTCATCCTTTTTTTGTTGATTTTTTGAGTTGGTCTCACTCTGTTGCCCAGGCTGGAGTGCAGTGTCCCACCCACGGCCACCGCAGCCTTGGCCTGCTGGGCTCAGACGATCTTTGGAACTACAAACCCTCTAATTTTTTCAAAATTTTTGTAGAGATGAGGTCTCACCATGTTGCCCAGACTGGTGCCAAACTCCTAGGCTCAGGAAATCCTCTCTCCTCCACCTCCCCAAGTGCTTGGATTATAGGCGTGAACCACTGCACCCAGCCTGGACCTCATCCTGAAGGCAACAGTCAGCCATTCTGAGCAGGGGGCTGAGATGAGGAAAGTGATTCTCTGTTCTTAGGAGGAATTCTGAAGCTGCATTGAGAGGCTGCACTGGAGAGTGGGGAACGTGCAGAAGTTGTGAGAGGCTCTGCCTGTAGTCCAACAAGCAGGTCCTCTTAAGACTGTGATGGCAGCAGGAAGGACATGGTGACTAACTCAGAATAAAGAATTCCTGAAAATTCCGAGGCTGAAACCTAAGGCTCTTCAGAGCCAGGAAATGGCAGGAGTGAGAGGCTGGCTTCAGGTCACTTTAGATGTGGTGACTCCGAAAGATGAGCAGGAGGTCCTCACCCTGCGTCCTCTCCCTGCAGAAGCCTTGTACTATACAGACGACACAGCCATGGCCAGGGCCCTGGTGCAGTCCCTGCTTGCCAAGGAGGCCTTCGACGAGGTGGACATGGCTCATAGGTGAGGGGATGGTCCTGGGGGGAGGCAGGCCAGGTGGGCAGAGTCATTGCAGCCCTTGACCACAGGGATGACATCTGTGCATGCCCAGGATGCATCCTCGTCAGCAGGATCCTGTTCAGCTGATTCAGCTTCCCAAGCTAGAAATGACAGCGCAGGTGGTATGGGCTCCTTACGTCCCCAAGGCTCACTCTTTCCAAACCAGTCTAAATGTCCTCTCCCAACCATGACAGGCATCTTTTAAACCCCAATTCCCTCTCCCTTCTCTCCCTTAGGTTTGCTCAGGAGTACAAGAAAGACCCTGACAGGGGTTACGGTGCAGGAGTAATCACTGTCTTCAAGAAACTCCTGAACCCCAAGTGCCGCGATGTCTATGAGCCTGCCCGAGCACAGTTTAACGGGAAAGGCTCTTATGGCAATGGGGGTGCCATGCGGGTGGCTGGCATCCCCCTGGCCTATAGCAGCATCAAGGATGTGCAGAAGGTACCAAGGCGGGCTGGCTCCCGGGTTTTCCCCTCCTTTTTCTGCAGCAGGGGCTCTGTGACAGCAGGTTTCCTTCTCCCTAGTTTGCCCGGCTCTCGGCCCAGCTGACACATGCCTCCTCCCTGGGTTACAATGGCGCCATCTTGCAGGCCCTGGCTGTGCACTTGGCTTTGCAGGGTGAGTCGTCCAGTGAGCACTTTCTCGAGCAACTTCTGGACCACATGGAGGAGCTGGAGGGTGATGCCCAGTCTGTCTCGGATGCCAGGGAGTAAGTATGGGCTGGAGCTAGGGCTGGAGGTGTGTGGTGTGTCTGTGGGTGCACAGGTGGGCTGGGGGCCTCTGGCATTGCCACAAGCTGAACCCTTTCTTCTTTAATTGCAAACCCCAGGGAGGGGCAGGGAGAAACCTCACCACCTTTGTGTGCTTCAAGGCTCTCCGGGACCCAGAGTCCAAAACCACCTGCTCACTCCTTCCTCTCCCCGCTCTTGTCGGGGCACCTGTGCCTGGGAGTCAGCCTGCCCACATCCCTGCTTGCTCCCCTCTGCAGCCCCTTCTGCCTGCCCAGTCTCCCCCTCTAGCTCTGAGCGCCCTGAAATCTCTCCCCAACCCACAGGTTGGGCATGGAGGAGCGACCATACTCCAGCCGACTGAAGAAGATTGGAGAGCTTCTGGACCAGGACTCAGTGACCAGAGAGGAAGTGGTGTCCGAGCTAGGTGGGTGGACCTGCCTGTGATTTGTTTCCCCCACCTTTTACCCCACAGGGTCAGGCTTGGGCTCAGGAAGGGGAGGGGAGCACTGAGCCATGCCTACTGTCACACTTTTCCCTGGGCACACAGAAGCCACGCTCTATAGGGTCCTTGGCAGGATTGTGAGCTCAGCACCTTCGAGCTCAAAAGCTACAGCACCTTCAGTCTGGCAGATTTGTTCCTGGAAATGGCAGAGGGGCACAAAGTAGTATAGCTAATGTTGATAACAGGTGTTGATTTAGCTCATACTTGTACTGGGCCCTGTGCAGAACACTTTAGACATGAGCTCGCGTCATCCTCACAGCATCCCTGGGGGAGAGTTCCTAACTGATTCACTCTCCATACTGAGCAGGAATCCTAGCGATTAAAGAACTTTCCCAGTCACACAGCCTGTGTGGTTGGAGCCAGCATTTGGACCCAGGTGGTCTAACTACAGCCTGAGATCTTAATCACAGCCCTGCCTGAAACTGAGAGTGCCAACTTGTGGCAGATGGCAGGAAGCCTGGGGCCTGGGTACATCAAGCCCCTCTAACCCGGCTTCCCCACAGGGAATGGCATTGCTGCCTTTGAGTCAGTGCCCACCGCCATCTACTGCTTCCTGCGCTGCATGGAGCCTGACCCCGAGATCCCCACTGCCTTCAACAGCCTCCAAAGGACTCTCATCTATTCCATCTCCCTTGGTGGGGACACAGACACCATTGCCACCATGGCAGGGGCCATTGCTGGTGCCTACTATGGGATGGATCAGGTGCCAGAGAGCTGGCAGCAAAGCTGTGAGGGCTATGAGGAGACAGATGTCCTGGCCCAGAGCCTGCACCGGGTCTTCCAGAAAAGTCCATGAGGGCCATGGCTGCTGGGGCTCTGCTAGGTCCAGCGGAACCAACTACAGCTCAGATTGGAAACCCTGAGGTTCTGGGAGCTTGGCTCCCCTGCCTTGGTCTTCCTGCAGTGTGGGGCTGAGTGCACCAGTGGGGCTGGAGTCCCTTGTAGGGAGGTCATTGGAGCAGCGAGTGAGGGACTGGGGCCTCGCTGGTACTGGGTCTCTGGCTCACTGCAGAGCTGTGGAGTCCTCCCAGCCTTCAGTGAGACTGAGGGGCCAGGGCGGGTTTACTTTGGAGGGTACTTATGGCATTTTCTTTTATTATCTAGGATGTGGGGTTGGGGAGGTGGAAATGATCTGCAGTGGCATCATTTCTCCTTGTTGGGTTTTAGCCCACTTGCCAGCAAGCCTGTCTGACTGGGCACGGCCCCCGAGCAGCAGGTTATGTGGATGAAGGGACAGGCACTTGCACCCGGCTGATCGGGGTCACGCCTGGCTCTTAGCTGTCCTGGACTTGTTAACAGTTTCCAGTGGAAGTCAAGCAATAAAACAGTTTTTGGTGAATCCCGCCACTGTTTCCTATGTTGCTCTCTGCCCTGAATGGATTCCTGTCCCCTGGCAACTTGAGCTTCTCAAGTCTAGTGCCTCTCTGCTTGGGCTGCACTTTCCTGGGAGCTGGAATCCAAGGTGATGAACTGCTGTGTTGCCAGGCACATTCCTTTAGTTCTTCCAGTTGCCTGTGTGTTCAGCCAGGAAGGGCAGAGCCCGCACGGGTTGGTGGCTTTTCCTGCTGGAGATTACTTGCAGTGGCCCTGGCAGCTGGGCCAAGTGCTTTGCCAGAGGCAGTGGGCAGGAACAAGCCAGATTATTCTCATCTCAGAGCCTGACTTCCCCAAACAGGAGCTAGTCCCATCTGGGCCAGGAACAGGAAGGATACAGAGGGCCCTTCTGTCACCAGACTGCCAACCTTTGAGTGGAGACAGTATGTCGTCAGAGGTGCCCTGGATGGACTGAGTGCTGTGTGTTTGTATCTTGACGCCTAGTTGAAGGCTTTGCCTAGCCAGGAAGTTGTGCACAGCATCCTTTTTTTTTTTCCCCAGTCCGAGTCTCACTCTGTTGCCCAGGCTAGAGTGGTGTGGCACACTCATGGCCACCGTAGCCTCGACCTAGCTCAGGCAACCCTTCTGCCTCATCCTTCCGAGTAGCTGGAACTATAGGTGCACGCCACTATGCCTGGCTAATTTTATGATTTATTGTAGAGATGAGGTTTCGCCAAGTTGCCCAGTCTGCTGGCCTCGAGCTCCTGGGCTTAGGCAGTCCTCTTGCCTCTGCTTCCCAAAGTGCTGGGATTATAGGAGTGAGCCACCATGCCTGGTTAACATCTTTTTTTTTTTTTTTTTTTTTAAGTCAGAGTCTTACTCTCTTGCCCAGGATGAAGTGCAGTGGCATGCTCACGGCCACCACAGCCGTGGCCTACTGGGTTCAGGTGATCCTTCCACCTCAGTCTTCCAAGTAGCTGGAACTACAGGCACGTCCCACCGCACCCAGCTAATTTTTTGATTTATTGTAGAGATGAGGTCGCGCCAAGTTGCCCATGCTGGTTTCGAACTCCTGGGCTTAGGCAATCCTCTCACCTCAGCCTCCCAAAGTGCTGGAGTTATAGGTTTATAGGTATGAGCCACCTCACCTGGCCTTTTTTTTTTTCTTTTTTTTTTCTTTTTTTTTTTTTAGTACAAGGTCTTACTATGTTACCCAGACTGGTCTCAAACTCCTGGGCTCAAGCGATCCTCCTAACAAGTAGTTGGGACTAGCATCCATTTTGAAGAAAGGAAAATTGAAAGGAAGGGGAATCCTCCCTTCCAACTGCAGGAATATTCTCTGAGCATCCTTCCAGCCTCAGCAGATAGACAAGCATGCAGAGTCTGCAGCTGGCCTGAGGTTCCAGGACCATTGGGCAGGTCTGCTTTCAGCCAAGATGGTGTTCTGCCCAGCTACAGACTTTAGGACATGGATTGTTTCAGGTCCACTGCCTCAGTGCCCGGTGCCAAGGACAGATCTGTCACTGCTGAGCATGGCAGGCTGTGAGCAGGTGCTTTCTGCCCAGGATGGCTCCCCCAGCCCTGTTTTCTGCACTGAGCCTGGCACTAGCCTGGCCCTCAGGAACAAAGCTTTATGATTTCATTCATAATTTGTATCAGATGTTGAAACTTGACCTTGGGATCCTGAGCCAGCTGTCATGCTCCACTACCCCTGAGAGCTTGCAGGAATGTTCCAGTGAAGTTTGATCTGTCATCCTCAGCTCCAACCACTGCCTTCCTTTGGTTTCTTAAAATGCCTCTTCGCATTTGGTTGGTGTAGAGCCCCAGCAGCTTAGCAACACCAAACCTTTGTGACAGACACCCGGGCTGGGGAATGCACACACCTTGCAAGGGCACATGACCCCCAGAGAGCTCCCTGGATACCTTACAAAGCCCAGAGGCTTGAGATGCCTCCACTTCAATGCCAATTTCAGCACAGCACTGTTTTATACAACGGGTTTTATTGAGGTTGTGTCAATACAGTCAATACGGTTGTTTTGCTTATCAAAAAGAAGTCCCATTTTCTTTGATTCCCAAGTGCATTTTTCCCGAATCTTCTGTGACACAGGGCACATGATAAGTATGTAAAGAACTAAGCTTCCTATACCAAGTTAGAAATGAAATTACTAGTGGAAAACATTTAAACCTTAATCTTAAAAAAAATAGGAATCAATATAAAAATGCACAAGGTAATGTAGTTTTCATAGTTAAAATCTGGCATTGTTTACCAAAGCTAGTCAGTTAAGTGGACACCTGCAACTCAAATCCCATAAACATCTCAGAAACGCCAACCACCCCTCCCAGAGGGCTTCAGGAATGAGATTTGGCAGAAGCTCAGCTCTGAAACAGCTCTTTCTAGACTCCCTTGATACCTTCTCAGTCCCCTGGGCCCCCACTAGGAGATGACTAATTTCTGGCAATGGGAACCTGTCCTTCACATGTTCCAGTGGCTCTGACCCAGGGAAGGAGGAAGTTGAACAAAGGAACCCCACCAGCTATGGTCTTGAGACTCCTTGGTTGGTTCTCTTGGGTGATAGGGAGTAAAAAATCCACCATGAACCCTAGCTAAAACCTTTTCAAGTGTCACATGGGCAGATCTGGGTTTCCATTTCTCCCTTTGAAAGTTAAAGTGAAGCTGGGCTCGGTGGCTCAGCCTGTAATCCCGCACCTTGGGAGGCTGAGGTGAGTGGATTGCCTGAGCCCGCAGGTTCGAGACCTGCCTGGGCAACTTGGTGAGACCTGATCTCTACAATAAATCAAAAATCTAGCACGCGCCTGTAATTTCAGCTACTTGGAAGGCTGAGGCGGAAGGATCACCGGAGCCCCAGCAGGTCGCGGCCACTGCACTTCAGTCTGGGTGAAAGAGTGAGACTCCAACTCAAAAAAAAAAAAAAAGAAAGCTAAAGTGAGCAATTAAACAGCCTGCTTTGTTTGGAGAAGTTGTGGGCAGGGGAGGAGAACTGGCAGGGAGCTGAGGGAACCACAGCTTAGCTTAGCAAGTCAGAAGTCAGCAGTCACCCTCCATTTCAAACATGGACAGTCTGGATGGAGGTGGCCAGAATCCTAGCAGTGCAACAAGACCACATACTGAATGACCCAGGGCTGAGGACAAGGCCTCCAGCCACCGGGAAGGTAGCCATCCTCATGTGGGCAAGAATGTCCCCCAGCCCCTGCACTAATTAGCTTGATCCTCTCAGCCTGAACAAGGGGCTGAGGGCTTGGGAGGGGCATCCTGCCTGCTTCTTGCAGAGGAGCTCTGAGTGGGGAAAATGGCAGAAACGTCCAGAGCCAACTCATTCCAAAGGGGCCTGTTGGCACCCTTTCTCTCCGAGCCATAGCCTCCCGGGACCTAATCCTGCTTAGAACAGGAAATTGGAACCAGAGGGTGGAAGGAGAGGAAGCCCCCACAGATTAACCCCTCTAGTAGACACATACCCACCAGATGGCTCTTATTAAGGAAAAGCGAGTGGGGCCTTCCTCATCCCCCAGCTTGTGTGCACCTTGTTCAGAGGGCCAAGCAAGAGGCGCTCTACATTGGGGGTAGGGTGGCAAGGATCCCCTTACAATTCCACACGAGAAAATCAGCACCTCCCCGCAGGTGGAAGGGAAAAAGGGAGGAGTGCTCGTGTGTGCTAACGGCCAACCCTGCCTCCTACCACCATCTGTGCTAGACATTTCAGAGTTTGATCTTTCTGGCCTGTGACTGTCCCTCAGAGCCTGTGCATCGGCCTTCATGCTAAATGGAGCCAGAGCTGGTGGGGGCAGCCCAGGGAGGGGGATGAATGTGAAGAGCTGTGTCCTGCCCCAGATCCATGCCCCGAGCCCTCACAAGTCACCTTCCCATGGCCGCTGCCGGAGCAGGAAAAGGAGGCTGACCCTTCCCAGGAGCCTGGGGAGAGGGTCACACAGTTGCCATGGATGGGCCTGATGGCACAGCAGCACCGTTGGGTTGCAGTCCTGGTAGGTGTCCACGCTGGCCACCTGGCTGGTCCCCCCCCCTCCCTTTCTCCTGAAGGAAACCCCACAGTCCTGAGTCCACTGTCATATGCTGAAGGTCCTGGGGGAGCTGAAGGAGCCCCAGCCAAGGACTGTGAGGGAGGCGTGCCCCATTCCTTGAGCAGGTGCCACTGGGGGGCCACAGGGAGGCTTCCCCAGGCAGATGGGTGGGGAGCTCAGTCTCCTCTCAGCCCCTTCAGGGCCCAGTAGGGGCCAGGACTCACCCATGAGCATCACGTGCCTGCAGGTCAGGCAGGACAGGAAGAGGGGGTGCAACCCCAACACTGCACAGACATTTAGAGGAAAGAAATCAGGCCAGCCCCTTCCAGAAACAATCTCAGCCTGCATGTAGAGAGGAAGCAAGACAGTCTTCTCAGGCCAAGGTCACGGCCGCCTCTGTTCAACCTTTGGGTTTTTTTCTTTCAATGGAGGTTCTCCGTAACTGAAAAGGTCACTCTACCACTAAAGAGGAGGAGGCCAGGGCAGCAGGGCCCCCCCGCGGGTTATGTGGGACAGAGCAAGAATCCTGAAAAGGAGGAGTGGATGTACTCGGTGGAGTAGAGGCCATTGGCCTGGTCCGAGGGCATCTGCACCCAGACCTGGTCGTTGGGCCGCAGCTGGAGCACAGCCCCGCCGGACGCCTGGTCCAGGTAACCCTTCTTATACTCGTCGTAGGTGTAGGTGGCCGGCACGTTGTTCTTGTACAGGGCCACCCACACGTTGGTGCCCTTGACGTGCACATGGTAAGCAAAATAGTAGACGCCGCCCACGGGGCAGGTGAAGATGCCAGTGGCTGGATTGTAGCCGCTGTGGCCGTTGTAGAGGGTCCGGTCAAATTTAACAGGCATGCCCGAGGCAGGGAAGGGCGAGGTGAGCACAGCAGTGAAGGCCGGCGTGGCGTGAGCCGACAGCTCACCCAGCCCGAACTGTGGCTTGCCTCCCTTGCCAAGCACAGCACCCTCCACACCACCATTGGGCAGGTGCAAGCCTGCAATGCCAGTCTCATCGAAGGCCCCGGGGGCACCAGGGGGCCCAGGAGGCCCAGGAGGCCCAGGAGGGCCCGTAAGTCCTGGGGAGCCGGGGACCCCAGGTGGCCCCGTGGGCCCAGCAGTGCCGGGCTCTCCCACTTTCCCCTCTCCAGGGGGTCCTGGCAGGCCTGGTTCACCCTTCAGTCCTGGCAGACCCTGGGGCCCGATAGGGCCAGCTGGGCCCTGAAGTCCTGGGATTCCTGAGGGGCCTCTCAGGCCGGGTTGCCCAGGGAGCCCCAAGTCACCCTTCTGCCCCAGGGCTCCTGCCACTCCTGGTCCTCCAGGGCGGCCCATGAAACCTGGCTCACCCTTGGGCCCAGTTGGTCCAGGGGGTCCATGGGCCCCAGGAAGTCCCCTCTCACCTGGGAGCCCAGGTTTTCCAGCCAGGCCACTAGGCCCCTGGTCACCCCGAATGCCAGGCACCCCTGGGGGTCCTCCAGGCCCTGCCTCTCCCTTAGGCCCAGGGGGCCCACGTCTGCCAGGGAGCCCTGCAGACCCAGGAAGTCCAGGGGGGCCCCCAAGGCCCTGTGGGCCCTGCTCCCCTGGTTCCCCATCCTCACCTGGTTCACCCCTGTCCCCCAGGAGCCCTGGGACCCCAGCTGGGCCCCTGTCCCCCTTAGGGCCTGGCAGGCCTGGCATCCCATAGCCGGTGGGGCCTATCAGTCCAGGGGGGCCCCGGGTCCCTGGCTCCCCTTTGGCCCCTGCTGGGCCCTGTGGCCCTGGCACCCCTGCTGCCCCTGGCACCCCCACACCATCTACACCAGGGGGTCCTTTTGGGCCCACTGCTCCTGGCTCCCCTCTGGGGCCTGGAACCCCGGGAGACCCCGACTCACCCTTGTCTCCAGGGCCCCCAGGAAGCCCATCCAAACCTGGCTTGCCTAAGCCAACTGGACCAGGGAGACCAGGGGGTCCAGGGGCACCCCCCTGCCCTGGGGCCCCAGGCAGCCCTGGCTGGCCTACTCCATTATCCCCCTTGAGGCCTCGCTCACCTGGGGGTCCAGGCTCCCCCTGGGGCCCTGGTTCCCCTCGGAATCCTGGGGGCCCTGGCACCCCCTGGGCACCTGGTTTTCCAGGGACGGTGATGCCTGAGGGGCCAGGAAGGCCAGGGGGTCCTGGAGGTCCCCGAAGGCCCTGGTCCCCTCGTATTCCTGGCTCCCCCCGAAGTCCCGGCTGCCCTGGTGGTCCAACCTTGCCTGGGAGCCCTGGGGGCCCAGCCTTGCCCATTCTGGAGAAGCCAGGGGGGCCAGCAGGGCCAGGCTGCCCATGGAGCCCTGGCTTTCCAGTGCCTGGTTTTCCTGGGAAGCCAGGAGGGCCAGGGGGACCTCGAGGCCCGGGCTTTCCAGGGGGGCCAGGCTCTCCCTTCAGGTCCATTGGCAGCAGCGGTAGAGGCATTTCTGAGAAAGAGAGAAAAAGAGGCAGTCAGGAGCTAGACAGGGGAGACAGGGAACCCCCATCTACCCACTGTCCATACCAGTATGATGTAAACTGGGGCGGAACAAGACTCTCATATCTGCTTGTGAGACTATTCCCCGGTCTGCCCATCTCTGCGCATTCTTCTTTTACTCTCAAGGAAGAAGGAGTCTGAGGGTGGTCCGGTGGCCATCATGGGGGTTACCAGGTTTCCTCACCCAGGGCTCCTAGCACCCAACCTCCCCAGGCTGGGCCTTCCCCACGGACACGTATCCCTGCATGACCTGGAGATGGAGTGGCCACCAGGTGGAGCCAGCAGCCTGCCGCAGAGCCAGCTGGTGTAGCATCCCCCAACGGCCCCATTAACCTTCCTGCTGCATCCCCTTGGAAGGCCACCTGTGTCAGCAAGCTGCACCCTGTTTCCAGGTCCTCTAGGGCATCAGGAAGAAAAGTGGAGCTGGGAAGACCTTTGGTGGGGATCGAGGGGTGGTGAGGGGGCTGGGAGGAACTAACAGAGATCAGAGCGGCAGGGAGTTCCGAGGGTCAAGAGCTATCTGAGGCATGGGGTGGGGGGAGGCTCTCACCCAGGTACTGGCCCTTGCCCTCTCGGAAGGGCGGTCCCACAGGTCCTTTCTGCATGGGCTGTATGTACTTCACTGGAGCATAGCCTGCTGCCCCGCTGGCCCCGCCACCAGAAGATGCCCGTGGCCCACACCCCAGCATCAGCAGCAGCAGCAGCAAAGACAGGGGTGTCAGAACCCCCCGCATGGCGTCCGAGGGTGTACTGCAGGGAGGAACAGAGAGAGGTCATCAAGCCAGCCCCCTAGGTGGTTTGGCACCACACCCAGGGGCTCACAAAAAGATCCTAATTTAGAGTTACACTTGATCTTTGTCAAAAGGCTGAGAAGAGATTCCAAATTTAGATATTATTTACAAGCAATTTCCAAAGTCACAGGGGTCTGCAGAAGTTGCTTCCCAACCTTCCGACCCTCGCCACTGCCATCTCCCAGGGTCTGGCCTTCCCAGGACAACAACCGCCCCCAGACCAGTCACCCTCTGCAGCCAGCGTGCCCTCTAGAGCACAAGCCAACATCCCCTGCTGAAAGCCCTTTAACAGTAACACCACCGCCCTTTGCTGGGCCAGCTCTCTGCCAGGCTGAGCTCTTTAGAGAGACGGACTCAATCCTCACAGCACTTAACAAGGTATTATTATTGTCATCCCCATTTTCCAGACGATAAAACTAAAGCAAAGGTCTCTAAGAAGCAGAGCTGGGATTTGGCTTAGGTCTGCCTGACCACTTTCTATTGATGTCCCTCTGGGCTTCCTGCATTCGGGATCAAGTCCATGGTGCTCAGCACAGCGTCCAAGGCCCTTCTAACCTCCTCTGTGCCTCTTCACCCCTCTACCTCTCCCCTCCCCCCACACCTCCACCCAGTAAACCAGAACTTCTCATAGCTCCAGGCGCCAGGTGGCCTCACCCTCTGGGCCTTTGCACAGGCTGCTTCTCTGCCTGCCATGTTTTTCTGACCCTCCTATCCATCCTTTAAGGTTCAAGGATGCTGTCACTCCTTCCTCTACAGAGCCTCACTCCATGCCCAACCTATCCCTGTTATAGCATTTAGCTTAGCTTGGAAAACAAGGCCTGAGAAGGGGAGAAACTCAAAAGCTCTGGATTCCAACAGGCAGCCTGAGGCGTCCTCTCACCAGTGTGGGAGCTCGGGCAAGAGGTTTCCTCATCTGTAAAAGGAGATAATACGTCCACACAAAAACTTGTCCATGAGTGCTCCTTTTTTTTTTTTTTTTTGAGTTGGAGTCTCACTCTGTTGCCCAGGCTGGAGTGCAGTGGCACACTCACGGCCACCACAGCCTTGAACTGCTGGGCTCAGGTAATCCTTTCGCCTTAGCCTTCCAAGTAGCTGGAACTACAGGCATGCACCACCAAGTCTGGCTAATTCTTTTTTGTTTTATTGTAGAGATGAAGTCTCCCCAAGTTGCCTAGGCTGGTCTTGAACCCATGGGCTCATGCAATCTTCTCACCTTGGCCTCCCAAAGTGCTAGGATTATAGGCCTGAGATTATTTTTAATGATAAAAAAGGAGACTTCTTTTCTTTTCCTTTTTTTTTTTTTTTTTTTGAGTTAGAGTCTCACTCTGTTGCCCAGACTGGAGTGCAGTGGCCGCTCCCAGCCACCGCAGCCTCGACCTGCTGGGCTCCGGCGATCCTTCCACCTCAGCCTTCCGAGTAACTGGAATTACAGGCACGCGCTACCACGCCCGGCTGATTTTTTGATTTATTGTAGAGATGAGGTCTCACTGCCCAGGCGGGTCTCGAACCTGCGGGCTCAGGCAATCCGCTCACCTCAGCCTCCCAAAGGCGCGGGATTACAGGCTGAGCCACCGAGTCCGGCTCCTTTTTTTTTTTTTCATGAGCGTGCCTAACAGCAACATTCATAATAGTCAGAAGGAGAGACTTGTCCAAATGTCCAACCATGGCTGGATGGAGAAAGTGCGGCATATCCATGTAATAGAATATTATTCAGCCAGGCTCGGTGGCTCAGCCTGTAATCCCGCGCCTTTGGGAGGCTGAGGTGAGTGAATTGCCTGAGCCCGTGGGTTCGAGACCCGCCTGGGCAACTTGGCAAGACCATATCTCTACAATAAATCAAAAATTAGCCGGGCATGGTAGTGCGCGCCTGTAGTTCCGGCTACTTGGAAGGCTGAGGCGCCGGAGCCCAGCAGGCGGAGGCTGCAGTGGCCGGGAGCGGCCACTGCACTCCAGTCTGGGCGACAGAGTGAGACTCCAACTCAAAAGAAATAAAAAAATAAATAAAATATTATTCAACAATAAGAAGGAATGGAGTGCCAGGCATGGTGGTGCACACCTGCAGGCCCGGCTACTCAGGAAGCCAAGGCAGGAGGATGGCTTAAGTCCAGAGTTCAAAGCCAGTCTGAGCAACACAGTGAGACCCCATCTTTAATACATAATAAAACGAAGTACTGATACCTGCTACAGCACAGATGAACCTTGAAGACACTAAGCTAAGTGAAAGAAACCAGACACAGAAGGCAACATACTGTATGAGTCCACTTCTACGAAATGTCCAGAACAGGCAAATCCATGGAGCTAGGAAGTGGACTAGGGGTTGCCTAAGGCCAAGGGGAGGAGGAAATGGGGAGTGACTGCTAGCGGGTACAGAGGTGCAGGGTTTCTTTAAGGGGTGATGAAAATGGATTGTGATAGTTGCATACAGTGAAAAAAAACCCTGAAGTGTACATTTAAATAGGCCAATTGTATGATGTACAAATTATATCTCAATAAAGCTTTTTTCTCCCAAAGTTCTCAAACAAAGTTTATTTAGAAAATAAGTTAGAGAGAGACAGAGAGGACAATCACCTCCTCAAGGTAGGGGGAGGGACCAAAGCTAAGAAAACATGGCCTGGCCAGTGCTTAACAAAACAATGGTCATTTTAAAATTATTTTATTTGCCAGCTCGGTGGCTCAGCCTGTAATCCTGTGCCTTTGGGAGGCTGAGGTGAGTGGATTGCCTGAGCCCGCGGGTTTGAGACCCACCTGGGCAGGCGAGACCTCATCTCTACAATAAATCAGAAAATCAGAAAATCAGCCGGGTGTGGTAGCGCGCACCTGTAGTTCCAGCTACTCGGAAGGCAGAGGCGGAAGGATCGCTGGAGCCCAGCAGGCCGAGGCTGCGGTGGCCGGGAGCGGCCACTGCACTCCAGTCTGGGTGACAGAGTGAGACCCAACTCAAAAAAAATAAATAAATAAAAACAAAATTATTTTATTTTTTAGAGACAAGGTCTTGCTCTGTTGCCCAGGCTGGAGTGCAGTGGTGTGATCATAGCTCACTGCAGCTTCAGCTCCATGTTCTCACTCTGTCACCCAGGCTAGAGTGCAACGGCATGAGCATGACAATCACAGCTCATGGTAGCCTCAACCTCCTGGGCTCAGGTGATCCTTCCACCTCAGCATCCCAAATAGCTGGGACTCCAGGCGCGTGCCACCATGCCTGACTTATTTGTTTGCTTATTTATTTACTAGAGACGAAACTTCCCTATGTTGCCTAAGCTGGTCTGAAACTCCTGGGCTCAAGCCAACTGCCCACCTCAGCCTCTGAAAGTGCTAGGATGATAGGCGTGAGCCACCCAGCTATTGTTATTTTTTTTAAGTGGCTATTTTATCTCACGGCTACTGTGATAAGTATCATGCCTGGCTCAGAGTAGATGCCATTTATTTATTTGTTTATTTGTTGCAGAGAACTGAAATTTATTTCTCACAGTTCTGGAAACTGGGAAGCCCAAGATCAAGGGACCAGCAGGTTTAGTGTCCGTGAAGGGTTCCGTCTCTGCTTCTAAGACGGCACCATGAAATTGCAGAGCAAAGGAATGCTGGGGTTTCACATGGCAGAAGATTGGAAGAGCAAAAGGATACCCATTATTTAAATGAAATTTTTTTTTTTTTGAGTCAGGGTCTCACTCTGTCACCCAGACTGGAGTGCAGTGGCACAGTCACATCTCACCACAGCCTCAACCTCCTAGGCTCAAGTGATCCTCCCACCTCTGTCTCCCCAGTAGCTGGGATTATAGGTGTGAGCCACCACACCTGGCTAATTATTTTTTGTAGAGAAGAGGTCTTGCTATGCTGCCCAAGCTGGTCTCAAACTCCTGGCCTCAAGCAATCCTTCTGCCTTGGCCTTCCAAAGTAATGGGGTTACAGGTGTGAGCCACCACGCCTGGCCTGAATGAGGTTCTATGAGGTTCTATTTGGAGGTTCACACCCGAGGAAAGTCTCACTTCCCCTCGAATCCCTGCTCTGGGTTCCCCTCACTCTGCCCACCTCTCTGCACTTGCACCTGCAGCAAGCAGAGCTTGGGGATGGGCTATGCACACCCTGGGATGGGTGTAGGAGCAAGGCCCTCTCCAGGGTCAGGCTGGGTCTGGAGCTTCAGCTCCACGTCCCTCCAGGCTCAGAATCCCATGGAGCTTTGCACGAATAAATGCAGGGCTTCGGGGAAGGTCCATGAAAATGATGGCCTGGCTCCCAAAGTTCAGGTCCCAGCCCCACCACCAACCCATTGTGTGACCTCACACAGGTCCCTTAACCTCCCTTCACAGTGTAATAATGACCCCTGCCACGCACAGGCCTGGCCCTGTGTGCCAGGTGGCGATCCAGACTTCAAAGGCCTCCTCCTCTTTACTCATCTCACCAAACCCCGGCACTCATGCAATTATTACCGCCATCTTACAGATGTAGAAATGGAAGATGAAACTGTAGGACTCACGTGCAGGACACAGGACTGGGACGTGTCGGAGCTGAGGCCTTGCCCAGAGCCCACCCTCAACAGGTTGCCTCTTCTTGCTCTGACAACTCAGTGAAGTTGTAGTGCAGGCCTGGCCCATGGGGGAATGCTGATCATCATGCCAGGCACTGTCCTAATGCCTTTTTTTTTTTGAGATTCACTCTATCACACAGGCTGGAGTGCAGTGGCACACTAATTAATGGCCACTCCAGCATCGGCATGCTGGGCTCCAGCAATCCTTTCACCTCAGCCTTCCAAATAGCCAGAACAATAAGCACGCACTACCACACCCGACTAATTTTTTTTTTTTTTTTGAGTTGGAGTCTCACTCTGTCGCCCAGACTGGAGTGCAGTGGCTGCTCCCGGCCATCGCAGCCTCGACCTGCTGGGCTCCGGCGATCCTTCCGCCTCAGCCTTCCAAGTAGCTGGAATTACAGGCGCGCGCTACCACGCC